TTCGTAACTTCTTCATATGTGCTCCGATTCCAACAATTCTTGGCTCGTTGGAATGTGCTCGATGTCATGCACAATCCAAGCACATCTGCACAAGCACAAGATGAACATGCAAAGACATGCAAACCCAACAAACCATACAAACAACGTAGCACACAAAACACATGCAAACGAAATGATGCGAACAGACGACAGGATGACGTGCAAATGAATATGCACCAACACACTCCCCCTCAGACTGTCGGCTTGTTTCGCCGTCTCTAGTTCAAGGACATTCCCGCCATCCTCGCACAGCGCCAGTGTGGCTCTTCAGCTAGCCGCTTGGTAAGGAAGTCGGCTGGCTGTTGCTGAGTTTTCACGTAGATCGGATCCAGTGTCCCAAGCTTCACCTCCTTCCGCAGCCAATGCCACATGATCCTCATGTGCTTGTTCAACCCATGAAGAACTGCATTGCGTGCCATGGCAATGGCTCCCTTGCTATCACTGAACAGAGGTGTCGCACAAGTCTGTTCATGGCCGATCTCCTTCAAGAGCCTCCTTAGCCAGATGATTTCTTTTGCCGCATGAAACATCGCCATGTACTCAGATTCCACTGAAGATAGTGCCGTCTCAGACTGCTTCTTGGACCTCCAACTTACAGGCCCACCTCCCACCATGCAGATGTATCCACCAACTGATGATGAATCCTCATGCTCAGAAGCCCACGTGGCATCAGCAAAACAGGAAAGGAACACCTTTCCTTCTCCGAGCTGCTCCCCCTTCTCTTTGAGGACTTCAATTCTTTTTTGACTGAGTTGAGCAGAGGCTGAATACTGTACTCCCACTGTAGGGTATGACTTGAGGTAGCGCACCACTCTCTTCGCTGCACCACACTGCTCTTCTGTTGGATTTTGCACTACTCGAGCCAGCTGTCCCACAGCAAAGCTGATGTCAGGCCGAGTATGCACAGCAGCGTAGAGTAGGTTCCCGACCATGGATTGGAATTGCCTCTGGTCTTCACTCTCAACTCCTTCTCCTTCAGCTGCCTTTATGAGTTTGAACTCGGAAGGCAAAGGTGTGACCACTTCCCGTTCTTCCTGCAGAGAGTACTTCTCAGCCAAGGTGTTGATGTACTGTCCCTGATGCAGTTTGAGCCAGCCACGTTCAGTATCCCGCTCAATATGCATTCCCAGGTAGTACCTTGCCTCTCTAAGTGACTTGCACTTGAACTGCTCTGTGAGCTTCCGCTGCACCCCATCGATCTCCTTGTCACTGCTGCTGAAGAGCAGGATGTCATCCACGTACACCAGCAGAAGCACAAGTGACTCCCCCTCTCCCATCAGGAACAGGCTCTCGTCGCATGCACTCGCACGGAATCCAATCCCTTCCAGTGCACTGGCCAGCCTGTTGTACCAGCATCTCGGGGCCTGCTTCAAGCCATAGATGGCCTTGTTAAGTTTGCAGACACGACCGGTTCCATCCTCATAGCCAGGTGGTTGAACCATGTACACCTCCTCTTCCACAATGCCGTACAGAAAAGCGGTTACGATGTCCATCTGCTTCACCTTCCATTTGCGCACAGCAGCTACCGCCAGCAGCACACGTAGCGTTGGAGACTTAGCAGTTGGGGCAAACACTTCTTTGTAATCTTCCTTCTCTTTCTGCTGAAACCCCTTTGCGCTGCAATGCCAGAATCTTGGGTTGAGCTGCCTCCTTGGACTGAAGTATCACCTCCACCAGAGTCCTCTTTATCTCCCATCGTATTTTAGGTCCCAAATGCGTGATAATAGGCTCTGATACCACTTGTTGGTTAGAGAAGGCTATAAGCAGATGATTCAATGGCTCCTTGGAAATTTCTGCAGCACTTCGTTATGACGCCCAGAAAACTCGCGACCTTCGAATAGCTATATCAAAAACTCCAATCGGTGAAACGATCTGAAAATCGGATATGTTGTAGCTGGCAGTGTCAGCTTTCCACTGAAAGTTGAATCACTCGATTCCGTAGCTAAACGAGTGAGCTATGGCGTTTGGCGCACTGGGGGGTAATCTGCCCTAGGAGAAGTTGACAGTCCTCAGAGTCACTATGATTGAAGCTTACAAGATCAGAGGCATGATAGAAAAGGCATTGAAGCACAGTTGGAAGGTGGGGTAGGAAGTGAAGGATGAAAGGGAAGGACCCTGGAGGCCCATGGTCAAGAACATGACAAGAGTCAAAGTTTTGACTCCCCATCCTCAGGTTCAGCCAGCCTGGCAAGACAAATTTCACACTGTGCCAGGTTGGCCTCCAAACCCCAAATGCTGCAGCTGCAAGGTGGGGACAAAAGTCCCACACATGCTGGTCCCTCCTCGTTATAGGGCTCTCCAACTTTGGTGTAGCAGCTGACAAGGACTTCCAATGAGTTGTAACAAATCCATCAAACATTTCTTCGTAACTTCTTCATATGTGCTCCGATTCCAACAATTCTTGGCTCGTTGGAATGTGCTCGATGTCATGCACAATCCAAGCACATCTGCACAAGCACAAGATGAACATGCAAAGACATGCAAACCCAACAAACCATACAAACAACGTAGCACACAAAACACATGCAAACGAAATGATGCGAACAGACGACAGGATGACGTGCAAATGAATATGCACCAACAGCCGCCAGCATAGGCGAACCCCCCTTGCACAATGGCATTCTAGAGAGCCGCAACCACACCTTGGTTCAAATCGCTCGCTGCCTCCTCAGTCACGCCAATGCACCACGGTCACTCTGGGGATATGCCCTCTTCCATGGGGCTCCCTTCTACAATCTTTATCCGCATCCCAACCGGCCCGACACCACACGTACCACTCTCTGGCTTGGGGCCACGCCCTCCGCCCCCTCTCTACGCGTGTGGGGGTGTACCGCATATATGTTGCTGAGCCCCCACATGCGCAGGAAGCATGGTGGCAAGCTTGGTCCCAAAACCCAGACCTGCATGTACCTGGGGCACAACTCCGATTCCCCAGACTACTTATTCCTCAACCCCATCACGAGACAGCTGATTCGCAGCCGTGATATCGTCTTCGATAAGACACGCCCCTTCCACTCTGCGACCATGGGCAAGCCTCGTCCACCTCCCCCGATGCTTGTATGGGCAGACTTCGATGCCCCACCTCCGGCCGCTGCCCCTTCTCCGAGGCCTTCTCCGTCCGGCGTGTCTCACCTGGCCTCCCCAGTATCCTCCGCAGCGACACCTCCTCCTGCTCCGCCTTCCCCGCGCGTCGAGCCCGGCTCACCAGTCTCCTATCGGAGGCGCCCAGTCCCTCCGGTCCCACCGCAGCCGCCTTCGTCTCTGGTCTCTAGTCTCACTCGTTCCAAGCGACCGGCTCCGCCTCTCGCCTGGGGACTAGCCGCCTTCTCCATCCGGTGTTCGGTCACCCCGCCTCCTCCTGCCGGGGGTGATGTCCCCTCCATCCGTATTCTGCCCCGTGCACTTCTGGAGGACAGGCATGAGGAGCTGTTTGACCTGCACGCGGTCAGCTTATTTCTCTCTCACATATTCCCGGACATTACTGACTGCACTTCCCTCAACTTCACCGAGAACCCGACCATTCCGACTCCTCGCACAAAAGAGGAAGCTCTCTCGGGGCCTTATAAGAAGGAGTGGAAGGCAGCAATGGATGTGGAGAACGAGGCGTTCATTCGCAACAACAGCTTTGACGATGTCGTTCCCCCTTCCGGTGTCAATATCGTCGGCGGAAAATGGATCTTCCGAGTCAAACAACTCCCAGGCGAAGCTCCACTGTTCAAGGCACGATACGTGGCGAAGGGTTTCACCCAGAAGGAGTATCTCGACTTCTTCGAAACATTCTCGCCCACGGCCAAGCTCCCGACTGTGCGCGCTCTTCTTGATATAGCCGCTCGCGGCAACTTCGAGATCAAGTCCATGGACGCCTCCTCCATTTTTCTCCAAGGCCAGCTCAAGGAGGATGTTCATATGGAACGCCCATCGGGGTTTCTTGGCACTTTTCCTGCCAATACAGTGTGGAAGCTGAAGCGCCCAGTGTATGGCCTCAAGCAGGCTCCTCGTGAGTGGCACAACAAGGTGAAGGAAGTCCTTCTCGCACTTGACTTTCATCCCTCCACCTCAGATTCCAGTCTTTTCGTTTGTCACTCCTCCGAGCCCTTCTACAACTTTGTCTACGTCGACGACTTCATTCTAGCCGCCAGAGATCCAGCTGAGATGGCACCTGTCCAGTCTGCTCTCAGCTCCGCCCTTCTCATGAAGGATCTTGGTGACCTCAAGAACTACCTGGGGATGGAGATCACTCGTGACCGCCAGGCTTGCATGATCACCCTCTCCCAGGAGTCCTACATCGACAACCTTCTCAAGCGGTTCGACATGGACTCCAGTAACTCTGTCTCGACTCCTCTCCCACTACAGCATCAGCTCACGGCCCCTCCGGTTCCCTCTCCTGACACCTGCTAGGACCCGTACCCTGAGCTAGTCGGTTCACTCATGTATGTGTTGGTGCATATTCATTTGCACGTCATCCTGTCGTCTGTTCGCATCATTTCGTTTGCATGTGTTTTGTGTGCTACGTTGTTTGTATGGTTTGTTGGGTTTGCATGTCTTTGCATGTTCATCTTGTGCTTGTGCAGATGTGCTTGGATTGTGCATGACATCGAGCACATTCCAACGAGCCAAGAATTGTTGGAATCGGAGCACATATGAAGAAGTTACGAAGAAATGTTTGATGGATTTGTTACAACTCATTGGAAGTCCTTGTCAGCTGCTACACCAAAGTTGGAGAGCCCTATAACGAGGAGGGACCAGCATGTGTGGGACTTTTGTCCCCACCTTGCAGCTGCAGCATTTGGGGTTTGGAGGCCAACCTGGCACAGTGTGAAATTTGTCTTGCCAGGCTGGCTGAACCTGAGGATGGGGAGTCAAAACTTTGACTCTTGTCATGTTCTTGACCATGGGCCTCCAGGGTCCTTCCCTTTCATCCTTCACTTCCTACCCCACCTTCCAACTGTGTTTCAATGCCTTTTCTATCATGCCTCTGATCTTGTAAGCTTCAATCATAGTGACTCTGAGGACTGTCAACTTCTCCTAGGGCAGATTACCCCCCAGTGCGCCAAACGCCATAGCTCACTCGTTTAGCTACGGAATCGAGTGATTCAACTTTCAGTGGAAAGCTGACACTGCCAGCTACAACATATCCGATTTTCAGATCGTTTCACCGATTGGAGTTTTTGATATAGCTATTCGAAGGTCGCGAGTTTTCTGGGCGTCATAACGAAGTGCTGCAGAAATTTCCAAGGAGCCATTGAATCATCTGCTTATAGCCTTCTCTAACCAACAAGTGGTATCAGAGCCTATTATCACGCATTTGGGACCTAAAATACGATGGGAGATAAAGAGGACTCTGGTGGAGGTGATACTTCAGTCCAAGGAGGCAGCTCAACCCAAGATTCTGGCATTGCAGCGCAAAGGGGAGCGCGTACAAGCCAGGGGTCACTGCTTAAGGAGGTGCTGAAGAACTTCACCATTGAGAAGTTCTCTGGAGATGGCTATGATGATTGGGCATGGAAGATGCAGCTCTACTTTCGACAAATTGGCCTCTTGAAGCTCATGATTGGAACGGAGCCAAGGCCAAAGGAAATGGCAGAGCAAGCGGACTGGGATGAACGTTCATCTGCTGGGTACTATCTACTGTCACAAAGCTTGGAGCTGAACCAGAGGCATCACATCATGCATCTGCTACCGGAAATTGATTGTGGGCCCAAGGCATGGGCAGTGCTCAAGGACCTGCACGCTCCGACATCGGTTGCCGCTTCTCTCATGCTGGATCGGGAGCTGTCCATGCTGCGGTTGAGCGAGAATGAAGCTGTGCAGCCCGTACTGGACAAGATGAGGGAACTCTACGCGAAATTGGCGATTGCAGGCATCACGTACCCAGAGCAGACAAAGTGTCTCAAGATGCTCAGCCTGCTGCCGGAGTCTTGGCTGCAATTTATAAGCGGACTCAGCTTGCCACAAAACCAAAGTCAATGGACATTGGAGTGGATTCGCACCAAGATTCTGGAAGAAGATTTTCGTCGCTATACACTGCGCGGAGGTGATGACAGCACCAGCGGCTATGCCATGCAAGGGACATGGAGGGATCGAGGGCGTGGCAATCGCGGTCGCTCTTACCACAGCCAAGGTGGTCGCGGGACTTGGAACCAGCGGGGGCGTGGTGGCGCTGGTGCAAGAGGAAGAGGTGGTCACTCCAACAATGACAACAGTGAACCACGCTTGAGGGGAGAGTGCTGGTATTGCAAGGAAGAAGGGCATCCATGGTTTCGCTGCCCTACCAAGCCCGACTGGTGGACCCCTTGGAACCAATCGGAGAAGGGGAATGGAGGAAAACAACCACATGGAGGTGCCAACATGGTAGCTGATCCTGCTGAAGAAACCTCCAAGGATGACAGAGGAATGCGAAATGAGGAGAGGAATGCTGGACAGTTCTACCATGTGTGTGACAAAGATGACAGTGGCACAGCTGTTGCAAGGGCTGGAGAGGAATTGCACCCGCTTGACATGTGGGTCATGGACTCTGGTGCTGCATGGACAATGACACCACGCAAGGACTTGCTGGATGCTGTGCGAGCGCCTCCAATCTCTGAAGTGCGCTCAGCATCCGGACATGCAGTGAAGGTCGCTGGAGTTGGTCGAGCTGCATTCAGAGCACCTGATGGTGGACTGGTTGTGCTGAAGGATGTGTTACTCGTACCGGGGCTGAAGGCCAACCTGATATCGCTGCGCAAGCTAGGCCAGGCCGGAGTCAGCACCACCACCAATGGATCCAAAACATTCAAGGGGCTGCGAGGAGATCGTGTGTTATGGGATTTACACGAAAGCAGAGATGTCTTCAGATCCATGTGGCAGATCCCTGCACTGATATGGGAATCAACAAAGAAGGAGTTGGGAGAAGTAAAGGCGGGTTCTGGAGTCCAGGGGGAGTGTAATGCAGTTAGTGCTGCAGGAGTGACGGTTTCTGCAAGGTCGGGGGAGACTGATTGGGAAACCGCACACAGGCGTCTAGGGCATGTGGCTATGCCATTGCTGCAGCAACTGCATAAGGAAGAAGCAGTAAAGGGGCTCAAGCTTTCTGGGCAACCAAATGCTACCAAGTGCGAGACGTGTCTGCTGAGCAAGTTCACACGGTTCCCCTTTCACGGCGTAGCTGGGAAAAGCAAGGCAGCACTGGAACTGGTGCACATGGACCTCGTAGGACCTTTTCCAGTCCGAGGAAGTAAGGGGGAAAGGTACTTCCTGACAATAGTTGATGACTGGAGTCGGCTGATGTGGGCATACCCGTTGAAGCAGAAGGATCATGCTGCCTCAACAATACGAGATGATTGGCTGCCGTTCGTCGAGCGACAATCTGGGCACCCATGCAAGAGCATCAGAACCGACCGAGGTGGAGAGTTTCTAGGAGGAGATCTGACTGCGTGGCTCAAGAAACAAGGCATTGAGCATCAGCTAACGACGTCCTATACCCCTCAGTCAAATGGCGTTGCTGAGAGGGCTAATAGGACCATCCTGGAAACTGCGCGAGCGCTGCTGATCGAATCAGGGCTGGGGAACTCCATGTGGCCTCATGCGGTGAGGCATGCTACAGTGGCAAGGAACCGCGTACTCACAAAGGTGGCTGATGATATGTGGGTGCCGCTGGAGAGGTGGCTTGGAAAGAAGCCTCCAGTGGACATGCTTCGAGTGTTCGGATGCATGGCAGTGGCGCATGTCCCTAAACCGTACAGGACAAAGCTTGGAGCATCTGCACTTTGGTGTGTGCACCTTGGGCTTGCGGCAGAGAGCAAGGGGTGGCTACTCTGGGAGCCCTCAAAGAATGTGCTGTTTGATAGTCGGGATGTCAAATTTGTGGAGAACATCATGTATGGCAAGTGGGAGAAGCAGCCGGAGGCAAGGGTCACCCAGCAGCTGGAAGAGATCACTATGCACTTCGATCTGTCCGAACCTGAGGACAGCGAAGTCACTGCGCCAACGGCAAGCGGTACTGATGAAGGAAGCAATGAGGATATTGCAGCTGATGCTGAAGTCAAGGATCCGGAGCAGCAGCAGCAAGAGGCTTCCAAAACACCAAGTCTGCCAAAGCGAAGGAAACAGATTGGTGGGGGGACAAAGGATTGGGTGAAGGTGAAAGAATGGGTAAATCCAACCATCTACCCTGCACGTACCAGAATGGCAATGAGAAAGCTGTTGAGCTCCACAAGTGGAGGAGCCACAACTGAGCAGCAGGAACAGGCTCAAGGCGAAGATGCAGTGCTGTTCTTGGGTGATGACCAAGAGTCAGATGACAAGGAGCCTGCATACTGCTTTTACGCACCAATACAACCTCCGAGCATGGATCATGCGCTAGCCGGGCCTCAACGGGGGAAGTGGCTCGTTTCAAGAGATGCAGAGTACAACAGCAAGATGGAGAATCACACATGGGACCTGGTGTACTTGCCAAATGGGAAGAAGGCAATACAGTGCAAGTGGCTGGCAAAAATCAAGACGGATGAGAAAGGAGAGCCATCAGTTTACAAGAGCAGGCTGGTGGCAAAGGGGTTTCAGCAGAAAGAGAAGGAAGATTACAAAGAAGTGTTTGCCCCAACTGCTAAGTCTCCAACGCTACGTGTGCTGCTGGCGGTAGCTGCTGTGCGCAAATGGAAGGTGAAGCAGATGGACATCGTAACCGCTTTTCTGTACGGCATTGTGGAAGAGGAGGTGTACATGGTTCAACCACCTGGCTATGAGGATGGAACCGGTCGTGTCTGCAAACTTAACAAGGCCATCTATGGCTTGAAGCAGGCCCCGAGATGCTGGTACAACAGGCTGGCCAGTGCACTGGAAGGGATTGGATTCCGTGCGAGTGCATGCGACGAGAGCCTGTTCCTGATGGGAGAGGGGGAGTCACTTGTGCTTCTGCTGGTGTACGTGGATGACATCCTGCTCTTCAGCAGCAGTGACAAGGAGATCGATGGGGTGCAGCGGAAGCTCACAGAGCAGTTCAAGTGCAAGTCACTTAGAGAGGCAAGGTACTACCTGGGAATGCATATTGAGCGGGATACTGAACGTGGCTGGCTCAAACTGCATCAGGGACAGTACATCAACACCTTGGCTGAGAAGTACTCTCTGCAGGAAGAACGGGAAGTGGTCACACCTTTGCCTTCCGAGTTCAAACTCATAAAGGCAGCTGAAGGAGAAGGAGTTGAGAGTGAAGACCAGAGGCAATTCCAATCCATGGTCGGGAACCTACTCTACGCTGCTGTGCATACTCGGCCTGACAGCAGCTTTGCTGTGGGACAGCTGGCTCGAGTAGTGCAAAATCCAACAGAAGAGCAGTGTGGTGCAGCGAAGAGAGTGGTGCGCTACCTCAAGTCATACCCTACAGTGGGAGTACAGTATTCAGCCTCTGCTCAACTCAGTCAAAAAAGAATTGAAGTCCTCAAAGAGAAGGGGGAGCAGCTCGGAGAAGGAAAGGTGTTCCTTTCCTGTTTTGCTGATGCCACGTGGGCTTCTGAGCATGAGGATTCATCATCAGTTGGTGGATACATCTGCATGGTGGGAGGTGGGCCTGTAAGTTGGAGGTCCAAGAAGCAGTCTGAGACGGCACTATCTTCAGTGGAATCTGAGTACATGGCGATGTTTCATGCGGCAAAAGAAATCATCTGGCTAAGGAGGCTCTTGAAGGAGATCGGCCATGAACAGACTTGTGCGACACCTCTGTTCAGTGATAGCAAGGGAGCCATTGCCATGGCACGCAATGCAGTTCTTCATGGGTTGAACAAGCACATGAGGATCATGTGGCATTGGCTGCGGAAGGAGGTGAAGCTTGGGACACTGGATCCGATCTACGTGAAAACTCAGCAACAGCCAGCCGACTTCCTTACCAAGCGGCTAGCTGAAGAGCCACACTGGCGCTGTGCGAGGATGGCGGGAATGTCCTTGAACTAGAGACGGCGAAACAAGCCGACAGTCTGAGGGGGAGTGTGTTGGTGCATATTCATTTGCACGTCATCCTGTCGTCTGTTCGCATCATTTCGTTTGCATGTGTTTTGTGTGCTACGTTGTTTGTATGGTTTGTTGGGTTTGCATGTCTTTGCATGTTCATCTTGTGCTTGTGCAGATGTGCTTGGATTGTGCATGACATCGAGCACATTCCAACGAGCCAAGAATTGTTGGAATCGGAGCACATATGAAGAAGTTACGAAGAAATGTTTGATGGATTTGTTACAACTCATTGGAAGTCCTTGTCAGCTGCTACACCAAAGTTGGAGAGCCCTATAACGAGGAGGGACCAGCATGTGTGGGACTTTTGTCCCCACCTTGCAGCTGCAGCATTTGGGGTTTGGAGGCCAACCTGGCACAGTGTGAAATTTGTCTTGCCAGGCTGGCTGAACCTGAGGATGGGGAGTCAAAACTTTGACTCTTGTCATGTTCTTGACCATGGGCCTCCAGGGTCCTTCCCTTTCATCCTTCACTTCCTACCCCACCTTCCAACTGTGTTTCAATGCCTTTTCTATCATGCCTCTGATCTTGTAAGCTTCAATCATAGTGACTCTGAGGACTGTCAACTTCTCCTAGGGCAGATTACCCCCCAGTGCGCCAAACGCCATAGCTCACTCGTTTAGCTACGGAATCGAGTGATTCAACTTTCAGTGGAAAGCTGACACTGCCAGCTACAACATATCCGATTTTCAGATCGTTTCACCGATTGGAGTTTTTGATATAGCTATTCGAAGGTCGCGAGTTTTCTGGGCGTCATAACGAAGTGCTGCAGAAATTTCCAAGGAGCCATTGAATCATCTGCTTATAGCCTTCTCTAACCAACAGTATGCCATGATGTGCACTCGACCAGACTTGGCTTACCCGGTTAGTGTCCTCTCTCGGTACGTCTCCTCCGGACGCTACATTGCCTCGCATTGGTCTGCAGCCAAGAGGGTCCTCCGCTATCTACAAGCCACCAAGTCTCACATCCTCACTTTCGATGGTACCTCTCCAGTCAAGCTCGAGGGATACACAGACTCCTCATGGGCCGATGACCAGACTGACAGATGCTCCTCCCAAGGGTACTGCTTCACTCTTGGTAGCGGAGTCATCAGTTGGCGTTCCACTCGGTCCTCTGTAGTCTCCCTGTCGTCCTGCGAGGCCAAGATCTACACAGGCACAATGGCTGCTCAAGAGGCACGCTGGCTCTCCTTTCTCCTCGCTGGATTAGGCTACCCCCAGCAGTCGCCCACCCTAGGGTGTGACAACCAGAGCGCCATTCACCTCACCAAGGATCCTGTGTTCCACTCTCGCACCAAGCACATTGAACTTCGTCATTTCTTCATCCGAGATCTTGTTCAGAGTGACCAGCTGACGGTACGGTACATCGCCTCAGATTGCAACCTCGCCGACCTTTACCAAGGCTCTTGGCAAGGCTGACCACTATCGCCTTCTTCGTTCCATGGGGCTATATGCTCCTTGACCGGGTTTTGCAGTCTATGGGGGTGTGTTAGAAATAGATTGCAAATCCTACTTTTGTATTTGTACTTTTATATCCTAGTTTAGGTTAGGAATGTTCTAGTGGGCTCGGGTGTACTCACAAAATCCCAACCTCACCCAATTGTGATCCCCCCAATCTCCAATTACCCAATTGGAGATTCCGGAGATCCCAATTGGGATTCCCTCCGATTCCCCCTTCATCAATTCTCCGTTACCTTGCCATGTACTTATAGAGCCTTGGGCTCCTTACCTTATCAATCATTTCAACTCTATTTCTTACAAGCACTAGGAAAATCGCGAAGGATTTGAGCGTATGGAAGAGAATTGTGCACGATTTTGGATTGAATGTTATCTCTGAGACTAGCCATGCTGAGGCCAAAGATGACATAAGTCGATTGGTCCCGTCTTATCATGGACCTTCTTTGTCGTACCGTTGTAGGGTAAATTTACGAACACAGTGACGAAAACTAGCGTATCCGCCGCGAAACTCAGGGTAACATAGCACGGTCGACTGTGCACCCTTTCACTATTAGAATCACGTCAAAATCCACGGGGCTCGTCACGGTGCAGCAGTTGAAGAAGCCCCGACTGGTGGGGAAGAATATCCGGGTTGAGGTCTGGTGAGGAAGAGGGTCACTCCAGTGCTACCTACTCATGCTCTCCATGCCATTCCAAGCCTAGGCGGGACAAATGGCTTGGAATGCCTTGGAGAGCATGAGTATGTTGCGCTGGAGTGACCCTTTTCTTCACCAAACCTCAACCCGAATATTCTTACCGAACAGTTATAACTTCTTCGACTGCTGCACCGTGATGAGACCTGCAGATCCTAGCGTGATTCTAATAGTGCAAGGGTGCACGATCGACCGTGCTACGATATCCTCAGTTTCGCGGCGTATACTCTAGTTTTCGCTGCTCTGTTCGTGGTTTTACCCTATAGCGGTACCACGAAGTTGACCTTTGATAAGATCGAACCAATCGGGTAATGGTATCTTTGGTCACACCTCAGCGTGGCTAGTCACGAAGACAACATTCACTCAAAAATCGTGCACAAATTTCTTGCATACGCTCAAATCCTTTGCGATCTTCCTAGTGCTCACCCCCTTATGCAAAAAGGTGGGTCTAGGAAGAGATCGAGAAGATCCCTGCAAAGCTTTGCACTAACCTCATAGACAACATGCCTAGGAGGGTGCGGGTGGTGATCAAGGCCAAGGGTCGGTGGACTAGGTACTAGAAACGCTGTTCGGAAGTTTACTCTTTGTCCTTGGAAAGAATTATCCGGATGTACTCTTTGTTTTGGCATATTGTTAGATCCAGTGTAATATTATGGATTTTAGCACTGTGAACACATCTACCAAGTGCCCCTCCCAAAGCGTACCACCATTAAACATAAGACTTTATGTACAGTGGTCGAAAAGCCCAAAAACCCTCATTAATGCAAAACATCATGACAATTGTTTCCGCCACTGTATGAAATCTTCGAAGCAGAAGCCAGCTGGATAGTTGCAACCGATCCCGCCGCCTGAGCGGGGGGGCTGCAGCAGGTGACGATGGACTTCGTCACAGGACTGCCTGCAAAGGACTGCTGTAATGACGCGATATTTATCGTCGTCGATAAGCTGACGAAGATGGCCCACTTCGCCGCCTGCAAGGAAAGTATCTCAGCCAAAGAAACAGCCCGCCTCTTCATCCCAACTGTCGTTCACCTCGATGGAATTCCATCCGCCATCATTTTGGATCGTGACACAAAATTCACCAGTAATTTATGGCGCAACCTATGGGAACAGTTTGGCACGCGCCTGCAATTCTCCTCCGCCTACCACCCGGAGACTGACAGACAGACCAAACGGGCCAATCAGACGATGGAGGAGCTGATTCGCACCACCTGCGACGACTGGGAGCAGCAACTTCCACTGATTGAGTTTACGTATAATAATGCCCCGTCAACCACTACACGACAGTCACCTTTCTACCTGAATAAAGGACAAAACCCTACACTACCAATCACACCCAACATAAAAAATCCTATACATCGAGCCCAACAGTCCGTTGAAATATTACAGAATGCCCGGGAGTGAGCCACCGAAGCCATTAAGCACGAGAATGTTATTTGAAAGCGCAACACTGACCTACACCAACGAGCAGTGACATACCACGCTGGAGACATAGTACTGCTCGACACTCAGAACCTTCGACTGCCCATCGTCCCAAAACTTCGCCCTCGATACTGCAGACCATTTACAATCAGCCACATGATATCCTCCGTTACAGCCCACCTACTGCTACCAGCCACCTGGAACGTAAGCCCATCATTTCACGTGCGGTTACTTTGACCATACATCGCCAGCACCAGTAAATCACCACATCACCGAGCAACCCGAAACATCCGACCGCTCTCCGAGCCTACTGTCGAACCTGCGAAGATTCTCAGCCATTGGATCAAGGACCCTCAAGGGGCCCGCCTGATCGAGTTTCTGATATCTCGGAAGGACTGAACGGCACTGGAAAATAGTTGGGTGCCCTTGGCACAAATCGAGAATTACCCGGTGTTACGAGTCTACATCCAGTCACACAACATGCGCGACGTCGGCGGTCTTAGCTAAGAGAATACCTTGGAGGGGGTAGGGTGTAAGGAAATGGTATTTCCTTATCACGGGGTTTAGCTAAAAAGGCGTGCACTGCTATAACGATGTTGCCGCGCAGCTCTGCCACGAAATTCAAATCGCGGTACCCAAATGTGGCCTCCTGACGAGCTGCATGCCTGCCTTGCTGTTTGATGGCTATATCAGGGCGCTTCGCGCCAATTTATGAACCACACGTCGCAGCTCTGCCGAGCCACGATCGTGTGCTCTAGGCTAGCTATATCCATGCTCCCTACTATTTTGATGTTGCCTTCAGTTGTATTGTTTCCTCGTTACTCAACTTTTCGACACACGCTCTTTGCGCATCATTACAATATGTTATGAAATAGGATGTATCAATGAATAAAAGCGTGAGAACACAAGGCCGCTATTGCAATGAAGGCGCGAGCTTAAATAGGGGCTGTCATGCTAGGGTGATAACCTCGGGATGTGGGTAGGTTCGGCAATGTGGCGACAATGCCGGACGCGACTCGGGCAAGGGCTGGGCCAACAAATGAGGCCGAACGTGGCGAGTCGAGGAGTTCGGGTGTACGCGCTAGCGTACAAATCAGTAAGGAATGGAAATTCCTTACACTACCCGCCCTCCCAAACGAGGCCGCGGGCATCGGAAACATTCCGACAGTGATAATATGTTGTTAGAACCGGATGTGATTATATATCAGCGAGAGACACCCAGCTGTCATGTTCAGACGTCCGATCATGCCAGCGGATTAAGAAATCCACCATCCGACGGTTCGGCAGCGTGGTGACGCGATGGCCGAGAATCTTCAGGGCTCGGTTGTTGGTTCTTGCTGGGGGGTCAGTTGCGGGACAATTCACTAACGTGCCAAGTTTGACGAACTCGGGATGTAGGGTCGCAGAAGGCTGACGTGGAAAGCCGGGTCGTCATGCCAGTCGGCTAGGAGTCGGAGGTACACTGTGACTGGTGTCACCACGTTGGTCACTTGAAATGGCTTATAGTAGCGAGGGCGGAGTTTGCCTGGGATCGGCAGGCGCAAGTTGCAAGTGTCGAGTAGAACGAGGCCCCCCACCTTGTAAGTGACGTGACGTCAGTGGAGATCGGCTTCTCAGCTTGCGACCAAGTTGGCTTTTCGAATGGCCTCGGCTGCTTTTTCTCGACCGTCGAGAGTGTATTCTGCAAAACGTTGGGATCGGGGAACTGGGGTCTCAGTATTGGCTGCAGAGGGTACTACAAGGGACTTGTCTGTAGTTCAGGAAAAATGGGGACTGATGGGCTGTTGCTGTGGGCGTAACTTATACGCGAATTCCAGCAGTGGAAGGGATTTCTCCCATGTGTGTGGGTCAGTACAGGTAGTCCGAATGTGTTGTTCCATAGTTTAGTTCAATCGTTCGGTCTGCCCGTCGGTCTGTGGGTGGTAGGTGTAAGAAATAGAGCTGAAATTATTGATTAGGTAAGGAGCCCAAGGCTCTATAAGTACATGGCAAGGTAAGGGAGAATGGATGAAGGGGGAATCGGAGGGAATCCCCATTGGGATCTCCGGAATCTCCAATTGGGTAATTGGAGATTGGGGGGATCACAATTGGGTGAGGTTGGGATTTTGTGAGTACACCCGAACCCACTAGAACATTCATACCCTACACTAGGATATACAAGTACAAATACAAAAGTGGTATTTGCAGTCTATTTCTAACACACCCCCATAGACTGCAAAACCCGATCAAGGAGCACATAGCCCCATGGAACGAAGAAGGCGATAGTGGTCAGCCTTGCCAAGAGCCTTGGTAAAGAGGTCGGCGAGGTTGCAATCTGAGGCGATGTACCGTACCGTCAGCTGGTCACTCTGAACAAGATCTTGGATGAAGAAATGACGAAGTTCAATGTGCTTGGTGCGAGAGTGGAACACAGGATCCTTGGTGAGGTGAATGGCGCTCTGGTTGTCACACCATAGGGTGGGCGACTGCTGGGGGTAGCCTAACTCAGCGAGGAGAAAGGAGAGCCAGCGTGCCTCTTGAGCAGCCATTGTGCCCGCGTAGAGCTCGGCCTCGCAGGACGATAGGGAGACTGCAGAGGACCGAGTGGAACGCCAGCTGATGACTCCGCTACCAAGAGTGAAGCAGTACCCTTGGGAGGAGCGTCTGTCAGTCTGGTCATCGGCCCATGAGGAGTCTGTGTATCCCTCGAGCTTGACAAGAGAGGTACCACCGAGAGTGAGGATGTGAGACTTGGTGGCTTGTAGATAGCGGAGGACCCTCTTGGCTGCAGACCAATGCGAGGCAGAGTCGCGTCCGGGGGAGACGTACCGAGAGAGGACACTAACCGGGTAAGCCAAGTCTGGTCGAGTGCACATCATGGCATACATGAGTGAACCGACTAGCTCAGGGTACCGGTCCTTGCAGGTGTCAGGAGAAGGAACCGGACGGGCCGTGAGCTGATGCTGTAGTGGGAGTGGAGTGGAGACAGAGTTACTGGAGTCCATGTCGAACCGCTTGAGAAGGTTGTCGATGTAGGACTCCTGGGAGAGGGTGATCGTGCAAGCCTGGCGGTCACGAGTGATCTCCATCCCCAGGTAGATCTTGAGGTCACCAAGATCCTTCATGAGAAGGGCGGAGCTGAGAGCAGACTGGACAGCTGCCATGTCGGCTGGATCTCTGGCGGCTAGAATGAAGTCGTCGACATAGACGAGGATGTAGAAGGGCTCGGAGGAGTGACGAACGAAGAGACTGGAATGTGGCCCCGAGAGAGCTTCCTCTTTTGTGCGAGGAGTCGGAATGGTCGGGTTCTCGGTGAAGTTGAGGGAAGGGGAGTCAGTAATGTCCGGGAAGATGTGAGAGAGAAATAAGCTGACCGCGTGAAGGTCAAACAGCTCCTCATGCCTGTCCTCCAGAAGTGCACGGGGGGGAATACGGATGGAGGGGACATCACCCCCGGCAGGAGGAGGCGGGGTGACCGAACACCGGATGGAGAAGGCGGCTGGTCCCCAGGCGAGAGGTGGAGCCGGTCCCTTGGAACGAGTGCGACTAGAGACCGGAGACGAAGGCGGCTGCGGTGGGACCGGAGGGACTGGGCGCCTCCGATAGGAAACTGGTGAGCCGGGCTCGACGCGCGGGGAAGGTGGAGCAGGAGGAGGTGCCGTTGCGGAGGATACTGGGGAGGCCGGGTGAGACACGCCGGACGGAGAAGGCCCCGGAGAAGGGGCAGCGGCCGGAGGTGGGGCATCGAAGTCTGCCCAAACAAGTGTCGGGGGAGGTGGAGGAGGCTCGCCCGTGGTCGCAGAGTGGAATGGGCGTGTCTCATCGAAGACGACATCACGGCTGCGAATCAGCTGTCTGGTGATTGGGTTGAGGAATAAGTAGTCTGGGGAGTCGGAGTTGTGCCCCAGGTACATGCAGGTCTGGGTTTTGGGACCAAGCTTGCCACCTTGCTTCCTGCGCATGTTGGGGCTTAGCAACACATACGCGGTACACCCCCAGACGCGTAGAGAGCGGGCGGAAGGCGTGACCCCAAGCCAGAGAGCGGTAGGTGTGGTGTCGGGCCGGTGGGGATGCGGATAAAGATTGTAGAGGAGTGCCGCATGGAAGAGGGCATATCCCCAGAGTGATCGTGGTGCGTTGGCGTGACTGAGGAGGCAGCGAGCGATCTGAACCAAGGTGTGGTTGCGGCTCTCTGCAATGCCATTCTGCTGCAATGGAGGCACTTCAGAGGAGTGCCGAACGTGACTTGAGCCTGGCGCACCCACGCTATGATGACATCAGGTGCCTCCGCCTTGGAATGCAGGAGGTGCACAGAAACATACCGCGAGTGGTCATCGACTAGTGTAAGAAAGTACCGATGACCGCCTCGGGATGCGACTGGAGCTGGGCCCCAGACATCCATGTGCACTAGGTCCAGCGGAGCAGCTGCAACGGATGGGGAGGAAGGGTGCGGCTGCTGCCTGAGCTTGCTCTTGGTGCAGTCCAGGCAGGTGGGTGCAGGCGAGTCTGTTGGTGGAGGAAGCGCCGACGGGAGGACAAGAAGAAGTTTCTTGGAAGCGATGTCGGCAAATGTACGGAAGTTGGGGTGACCCAAGCGATGGTGGTAGAGGATGGTTGGGTTGGCGAAGCTGCGACACGAACACGGAGTGGTGCTGGCAGCTTGCGCTTGGGAGAGGGCGGCGAGAGGTGCAGGTGAACGCAGCGTGTAGAGCTTGCTGCTGTTGAGTGTGAAGCGTGCTAGGAGCTTGTTGGACTTAGGGTCGAGGAGGTCACAGTGATCCGATTGTGCTGGGAAGATCGTGGTGACGCCTGCCCGTTGGAGCTCGTGTTGGGCCACGAGATTTTGGCGTAGTGTGGGAACACACATGCCGGTGACACTGCCCGAAGGAAAAGCTGGGCACGGAACTGTGGAGGAGCCCTTGGCGTGTGTTTGTCTGCTCCTAGTAGACGGATTGGTGTCTCGTATGGCTTGAAGGAATGTTCTTCCTTGAGAACCGTGTGAGTGGCCCCACTGTCGAGGGTGAACTCT